AATTATTACAAAGTTCTAGGGGTGCCTCCAAATGCTTCCTCTTGTGATATTAAGAAGGCTTATCATCAGTTAGCTCTTCAGGTGCACCCAGACAAGAACCCGGAAAGCAAGGAGGCAGCTGAGGAGAAATTCAAACAAGTAGCTGAAGCCTATGCTGTCTTGTCTGATCCCAAGAAACGCAATGACTATGACAAGTCCAGAGGCAACCACATCAAAAGTGAACATGGAGGAGACGGTGAAGACAAAAACTATTTGAAGAAGGAAGTGTGGTTTGAGAGGCCACACTGTGGTTTTCAAAATGTCTTTGAAGACCTCTTCTTGGGAGATTTTTTCCCCACTGGCTACATGGGTAGAACCAGGTCCCGCTCCTCCTTCTTTGATGTGATCCCCATTTTGGACACAGGATTTTCTACTTTTGTATCCCTGGGCTCCAGACCAAGTTCTTCTTCCTCTGGGACATTTGTCCCCTATGTAAGCAGTGGGATGGGAAGCTTCAGACTGGTCACCACTTGTAGCCAGATAGTGAATGGCAAGAGAGTTGTTACAAAGAAGGTTGTAGAAAATGTGAAATAGAAGGCTGAAGTGGAAGGAGAAAGCCTATTTCATCAGATTCCTCTACGTCACTGGTAAGGAGTTGCTGCTGTACTCTGTCACAGGCAGACTTTCCTGTGACACCGGTGAGTCTGATGCTCACCAAAGACAGAACTGGAATCTGAGAGGGTATTGAACTGGAATGGACAAAGGCCAGCTCAGTCCAAACATCTTTTTTTACAGAGAAAGAGGATAGTGCTCCATGTTTTACAAGGAACTAGAAAGCAGCAGAGTTTGGCCCTTAGGACCAGGTCTTCCGATTCTAAATTGACCCTTCATGTCCCTGCACTACATCGGGACACTGAGACCACCGCCACAGACACGGCCTCCTGAGTCAGGGCGCTGCGGCCAGGAACCCTGCTGACTTCCCCATGCTTACTCTGCCGCACACTGCTGCTGTGCAGTTAGCTCTCTCTTGGTGGTCGCTCTTTCTCTTTCTAGCCTTCCTCTTAGTTCCTGTTCTTTCCCCCTCACCTTCTTTCTTCCTGTACATTTCCAATGAACTATATCACAACTAGATCAATTGAAAGAGTTATCTAGGTATAGATTGTTAGCAGAGAGAAAGAGTGAAAGGTAAATGGGTTAAGACCGTTTTTATGCACTTTTTTAAATAGCTAGAATTTATTGAGCACTCAGCTGATGTCAGGAATTCTACTTCACATATGTTATCTCAATAATACTTCCATAGTGAAATATAGTAGCTACTTTCCCCCATCATATAGATAACGAAATGAGATTTCGATTGAGTATCTTGCTCCAGGCCCCACCTAATAAGCAATAAAATAGTGTCTTACATCTAGAGATCCCTCTCACTTATTTTTAGATTTAGGGTCTTGCCCTCATTGGAAACTTACACCTGTCATCTCTGAACCTTACTTCCACGCACAAGTACTTGCTGGGACTTATTAAGTATGTGAACATTTTGAATATTATTGCCCAACAGGTCCTTGGTTACTTTTACATAAAGACAGAAGATAAAAGTAATGTAAAAAGTTTTGCTGAAACTAGCAAATGATTATCCCTTAACACAGATGTATAAATTGGATGCCAAGATGTGAATTACCTTTTTAGTTTGGCTTTAATTGTGATATTCATGCAGTTGTGAGATTTTTTGTTTAGCTGGATGTGGTCACACTCCAACCCGTTCATTTGAATAGGGCTTATAGGAGGGTTTCCTTGTGGAAAGTTACTGATGGAATCTGCATTAGCACTTTTGTATTCCAGTTTCCAGTCTTAGGCTCATTCTAGTACATACACCATGCTGACTGGCAAAATTTGGGTTTCATTTGCACCACAGACTTTTATACAAATTATGTAACAAATGAGTAGCTTTCTTAATTCAAGGAAAACACCTGTGTTTGTGATTTTTATGTAGTTTTTCAATTTTTTAACATTTTAATAAATTTTCTGAACTTGAACAGGAATATTCCTGCATCACTCTGGCAGAGGGTACTGTTCAGGCACAGAGCACTGTTCCAGAATGGAAACGGAAGGTGGATTTGAAATTAGAACATAACCCATTTTTTTCAAAGCCCATACATGTCCACTTAGTAGCCATGGAGGACCTCCTATACATCAGGCACTGTGCTGGTTGCCTTACATAAGAGTGTCACATTTAATCTCCAGAATCCTTCATGGGTTTACCTCCATTTTACAAGTGATGAAACTGGGGCTTGAGGAAGTTAAATCGTTAAATCTCTTACCCAGGGTCACACAACAAGTTGGGGAGACAAAGGTCAGCCTATGGTTTGCTTGACCTGGAAGCTCACATTTCCAATATGCTCCCATTCACCTGAACTGCCAGTCATGATTTAATAGGAAAGTTTTCTTGTATGTATGAGCACTATTCGCTTCAAATTTTTTAAAATAAGGATTTCCAGCCCTGGATGGATGGCTCAGTTAGTTGGAGCATCATCCCTTCTTTCCAAAGTTTGTGGGTTCGGTTCCTAGTTGGGATGTGTGTGGGAAGCAACTGAGTGATGCCTCTGTCTCTCTCTGTCTGTCTCTGCCATCAATAAATACGTCCTCAGATGAGGGTTTTTTTAATGAGGATTTCCAAACAGAGCTTCCTTTCACAAAACCTAGTCTGAGGTGAACTACAGGGTGGCCACTGAAGAAAGGGAAAATCTAATTGGAGCCTGGAACATGATTTCCATTTTGTCTTAAATAAAATATAAATTTCAGCATTTTTTGCAGACATACTTGGCTTCTGACAGAAATGCTGAGTTGTAGAGGACTTTTCACTAGCAAAGACGTTTAAAAATTCACTTTCAGTTAATCAAGGAAGTTTTCTTGTTGTATAGAAATGCAGGCAGTGACATCTCTTCCTGATGCCTGTTTAAAATATGTAATAAGTGAAGTAGGAGCAAATACTAGCAAAGGAAAGATGGAGAGAAGAAAAGGCTTTGCCACTTTTTTAAGTGTTTCAAGTGAGTCAATGTTCATCTCAGTGTGTAAGCTGGAGCATGAGCTTTGAAGTAACTTGTGATTCAGGTTCCTGTCACCTCACAATGCCTTCCGAACAGCCACTGTGACTTCCAGGCGTCAAAAGCCCCTCTGCCAACTCTCAGACTTGCAGGTTGTCCTGATGGGCCCTCTTTGAGATTACTAGCTGCTGAACTAGAAAAAAAAATACTTTAGGGTTGGAAATGCAGTCCATATACCCTTAATTTTCCCCTCTTACCCTATTCAACCAATTTTTTATGCACTGTGGTTTTGAATAGTTGTCTCCTACATATTAATGAGAGATATTTTGTTTTTTAGTAGATGGCAAAGTCAAGGTTTCCAACACTCAAAAATACCACAGACCAGTTACAAGTAATTCCTTGTCCTTCTGCTCTGGTTTGTGTTAGGTATTTGACAAGTGAATTGAGGACCATGATCCTGTCAAGGAATAATGACAAATGATTGTATGACTTACTGCTCAGGGACAGGGAGCATTTGTAAGGGTGTTACCTCATGGAATCCTGTCAGAATCCCCTTACTCCCTATTACCCACGGACGAGAGAGAGGAGGAAGGGAACTTGCCTCAGGTTCTGAAGTGGGTGTTTCTTCAGCCCCTCAGCCCAGCTATTTCTCCCCCACACAGAGACGTTCCATGCACATGTATTTCACAGCCTGGCATAGTACATGAGAGAGTTTGGAGGAAGGGCCCCCTTGGTCATAGCACAGGAGGGAGTCACAGTTTTATGTAGCTACAGTTGCACATTGGGTCCCCTTTCTGTCCCTCAGTCGCGGAGGTGGGTATGGATGTATATGTGCAGATTGATGAAACAGATATGTTGAGGCTTACCAAGCATACACAACTGGCCCATCTCTTGAACCCAGGTTCCCTAAGAACTAACTCAGCTTCTCTCCGCAGTAAGCGATAACAAAAGTAAGGGGGCAGTCAGCATTCTCAGTGCTTACTTTCCGAAAGTTTCAAACCACTTTCTATACTTGGGGTCCTCATATCTTTCATGAGAAGTCTGTTTTATTTCTCCCCAAAGCTTTGTAGTCTTCAGGTTAGTTGGAGTGAAGGATACCTGGTTGGGTATCTGAAGGGTGTGGGAAGTGGACTCATGAGGAGAATAGGGGAGAGAATTTGCGGTAGGCAGAGCCCTGCCCCTCACTACCTTATTTGGGATTTCAAAGCTCCATTAAGAGGAAATGTGGTAGGACTTTCAACATGAGAGGTTGATTTTCAGGTGGAGGCAGGATGATTTTCCTTTGAAAGGGCGGGAAGAAAGTTCAGAGTGAGTGAATCATTTTCCCAATGTTCATTGATGTGATTGACAAGATTCCAGAAAACTAAGACTCTAGTCCCCATTAGTCCATCTAAACAACACACATGTACTTCTAAATGTCAGGAGAGACAGAAGGACTTAGGAAGAGAACACTGGCTTTGGCTGTGGGCAGACGAGAGTTCAAACCCTGTGCCATCCTTTCCTAACTTCCTGATCTTCATTCTTGATGGTTCACTTCTTGCCTGGTTCCCGGTTTGCCTGTAAAATTAAGATGATAACCCCTGCCTGTCCTAATTTATAGAGTTATTTTAGGAACTAAGCACACAAAATTCTGCATAAACTATTCATATTTTATAAATGGGAAGTGTCATTTTTTTTTGGAAGCAGTATCTTTGGGTATGTAAACCTAAGGGTACATACTCCAAACTTGCTGTCAGTTTTTTAAGACATTTACGATGTGATCTTGAAAACAAGAGCAGCTATAAAATGTATTTAATCTGAGACTAAAAGTAGAATATGCAAGATAAAAATAGAAGATTTCATTTTGTTTCCATTTTGGCAGAAGTGGAAAAATAATGATTTTAGCTTGAAAATCAATGTGGCTTTTTTCCTTTGAACTTCCTTTTTTATTATTCTTGAGATTTTGTACTTACATGTTGGCTTTGCCCTCTGCTTCCTTTACAGGAGATTGATGGAAAATCCCTGCTATTGATGACAAGAAATGATGTGTTGACAGGACTTCAGTTAAAACTGGGGCCTGCTCTGAAAATCTACGAGTACCACATAAAACCTCTTCAGTCAAAGCATTTAAAGAACACCTCTTCATAGTACGGTCCAGTTGGGGTCTCAGACCTCAAAAAATGCACAGAGACATAATTCAGTTTCATGTGATGAAACTTTGTAAACAGAATACATACATGTGTATATGTAAAGAATTTCAACCAAATGAAACGTTATCCTATTGGATAGACTAGGCAATCCATCAGCTGACCTGAATTCAGTTAGGAGGAGCAAGGAGAACACGAGAACACGTGGACGGGATAGTTTTCCTTGTGGGTTTGTCAAAGAGCGTGAAAGAAATCAAACTTTGACATGATTAGATACCCTTCCCCAGAAAAGCTTTGAAATCATAAGGATTTTCTTCATTTTTTCATAGATGGCTTTACCAAAATTCATTTAAAAAATTAATGGAATGAGCATCTTTTGGTTATAGACTTGGGAAGGAGGAAAAAGAGAAAAAGATTGGTGTCTCCCTTGGTTTCCTCTGCTCCTTAGAGCTTGTGTTACTGGGATGGAATTGCTGACACCCTTTTTTATAGAGGGTCCTCCACTTGACCTTATTAAGGTTTCACTGGGACATGCTGCGGTGTGTGAAATGAACATGCATCTCGGCCCCTTCAGGAGAGAACCGTAGCTCTAAAAGAAAAACTCTGTTGTGTATTGGGGATATCCATCCATATTCAGCTAGCTTTCACAGGGACTAATGGTATTTTCTGTATAGAATGGCTTTTAAATGGGTTCTTTGTTTCTGAAGAAAGCATTTTTTTGCTTTATGGTTGTATTTATGATAATTTGTTTCTGAAGAAATTTGCCAAGAGTTACAGATCAAAAAGCCTTGTTGCTAGCACAGAATATTTTTATATATATTCCTTCATGATGGTGTAATATTTTTTTAATTGCTCTGATGCTTTGTTTGATTCCTGGTTTGAGCACTTGTTTTTAAAAACTTGAAGAAGTGGGCTTGCTACATCTCTGTTCAAAGAGACATTTGTTCAATCTCCATGTGTCGATGCCTTGTTGGGTCGGTGCTTTGTGGTTGCAATAAAGCATTGCTTCATTTGATTCCTGGTGTGTGTTCAACCTTCTCTGTTGGTTGCTTCTGCAGTTGGGAGTAAGGATTAAGGTCACTCCTTAAAACCATGGAAAGAAAGCTGCACCTTTAAAAAATGTAGGTATGGAGCCCTGGCTGGGTGGTTCAGTTGGTTGGAGTGTCTTCTTGTACACGGAAAAGATGTAGATACAGGAAACATATGGATGTATATGTGGATTTATCTTCTTTATGAATGGAATTGGCTAAGCTTGCTTGGTTCCTTCTCTTACCCAACCCAGCAACACACTTTAGGTGTCCTTTTAACTAAAGATTTGTATTGTTTTTTGTTGTGTTTTGCTGTAGGCCAGTAGGGGTCATGATTTTTTTGGAAATTCTAATGAAAGCTGTGGACCTTCCTCCAGACAAAAAACTCATATTCCCACATACAAAACTTTGCAGAGGTGATGGACTCCTCAAGTTCCCTCTTCCTTCCTCTCAAGTTAAGAATCACTATTTTAGAAAGTGTTACAATTCACTCCCCTGCGGAGATCATTTGGAGAACACACTGTCTGAGGATGAGAGTGACAAAACACAGGCAATGGGTGGGTGGGGTTCAAAGATACACTCTAAATTAATTGTTAACAGAGTATCTGAAACTTGTTTATTTATTTATTTATTTTTCTTTTCATGTATTTTTCTATTGAATTTGTTGGAGTGACACTGGTTAACAAAATTCTACAGGTTTCTGGTGCACAATTCTACAACATGTCATCTGTACACTGACTGTGTTCACCACCCCAGTCAAGTCTCCATCCATCACCATTTATGCCCCCGACTCCCTGTACCACCGTCCACCACCTCCTATCCCCTCCCTCTGGCAACCACTATGCTGGTGACTGTGTCCATGAGTCCTTCCTCTGCTTTCTTTTTCACTGAATCCTTCCTTGCCCCCCTCCCCACCACCTCTCCCTCAGGGCTATCAGCCTGCCCTCTATTTATGAGTCTGTCTCTATTTGGCTTATTAGCTCATTTTTGTTCATTAGATTCCACAGATGGATGAAATCACAAGGTACTTGTCTTTCTCCGACTGGAAATTTAAGTAATGCTTTGTTTTACTTTAAGTGGGAGAGGATCACAAAAGGGACTTTTTCTGTCCCCAAGTTCTCACAGCCTACCCGAGACAGCAAACAGAAACATGAGTAAAAGGCAGAATGTAGGTAAGTACTGGGAGGTGAGAGTAATGACAGGTGAGAACTGCACCTGCTGGAGACCTTGGTGGGAGAGAAGGGGCAGGAGCTCCAGTAGAAGGAAGATGGAATGAAGAACCTGATTAACCTTTCTGAAGGTGTTTCCCACAAGTGACACGGTGATTCTGTTTGAACCCTGTACCTCAAAGGGACAGCATGAGGAATGTCCAGGCCCTGCTTTCGTGCATCCACCTGGTACTTCCTGTCGCAGTTTGGAGTAGGGTTTGGCTGTGAGTGATAAAACCTGCCTCCCCTGCTCTTAACTCACATCGACAGGTCATATAGACAAGACAGAAGCTTGCTTCTTTTTATGAAATTGTCTAGATTGGGGAACCAGGCATTCTCTGGTATGGTCCTCCATGATGTTAGGGGCAATATAGACTCCACCACTCTTTTTACTCTGTTATGCATGGTACTCGATCCTAGAATTTCACAGCCCAAGGTGGCGCTTTAGCTCTTGCCGTTGAATTCCAACCAGTGGGAAAACAAAAGGGGAAAGGTACATACCTCCTTTTCTTAAGGACATTTCTGAGAAATTGTTCCTCTTTATATCCTCTGATACCTTGCTGGCCAGAATTCAGTCACATTGCCATAACTAAGCTGCAAAAGAGGCCTGAAATGTTTCTTCTTTTTCTTAGAGACCATGGGTCCAGTTAAAATTCAGAAGTCCCCTAATTCTAGAGATAAAAGATAAAGAATACTGGGGGATGACTTGCTGTCACCAGTCAGCTGGCCATTGAACACTTGGGACAAATGACACTGAAAGTTCATCTTTAGTTGTATTTTTCTCTAGATTTGAACTTGGGCTCAGACTCCTTTTAGTCTGAATGTTTTTATCACAATCACCTTTCACAACTATTGAAAACTTTGTTCATTAATCCCAACCTAACTCAACCAAGCTTCAAACCTAGACTGCTCTATTTTTTTAAAAAAAGGGAAGGAAAACATTTTTAATTGAAAGGCGAACTATCGGCCACATTCCTCTAAAGGTGCAGAGGCCCATGGCTTCAGCCATAAAACCCTGTGTGTCGGGGGCAGGACTCGGGCCCAGGACTGTGTTTGCTACACTGTCTGCTGTTACTCACTAACTGACAAACTGGACTTGCTCACCTCATCCTTCGGTCTCTCGGCTTCTCTGGTGTTTGGGGGCCGCTTTACATTCACATCCCTCTCTCAAAACGAGCACTATCACCGTTAATGCTGAAGATAGCTCGATAAATTCCATATTTTTAAGAATTAAATGATAGAGAAAATTGTGAGCCTTGATGTCAGCTAGAAAATGAGGATTCTGGAGTCAGGAGATGACGGGGACATTTGCAGAGAAATGCTTGCGTGGAAGAATTGGTCCACCTAAAAGGGCATGAAAAACACTCCCAGTGGGGCCTCCAAGGAATGCCTTAAACTCTGTCTCCGAAATGGTGGAATGCAGAATTCTCATGCTGTGACCCTGGCAAACTGGGGAGCACAGTGGAGTCTGCACACAGGCGTCAGAACAAGCTGAGTGGGATGTAGCCTTCGGTCTTTGGTCTCATTATTTGTCACATGAAACAAGTGATAGAAGTTCATCCGTCCCCATGCATTACCGTTCAAGTTTTATAATAACTCCTTGGCTCTCTTGTTTTCTCTTATCACAACCAGAACATTCACCGTACCCACAATAAATTAGCATTTAACCAATTAAAAAAAGGAAAGCAAACTGAAAAGAATCAAATCATTCTTCAGCCTCTGTTGACAGCTTTCAGGCAAAATTAGCAAATTAAAGATAGTCTGCCCGTTCTTACGCCCAGAATGAAGGCCTGTCACAGGCAAGCCTGAGCACCTCAGAAACCAGGGCGGCTGCTTTCATGCCTCTCCCTCCTACCCTCAACCCAGGGAAAAGCAGTGTGATCAAAATAAGCCACTGAGAGTGGCTGCAAGTACTTGAAATTCAGCAGGTAGGCAGTCTTTGTCCCCAGACAACAGCAAAACCAGAGCCGCCTGATTCCTTTTCAGATCACACTGGATTTCATTAATGTGATCTGGGTCTGCAGCTAGGAGCAGATATACGCGCCGCGTGGGGAAGCACTTCACGAGTGCAAGTGGGAACAAGCATGCCTTGATGCCAATAGATTTTATGTGAGAACTGTTTAATGTTGAATTTGATTATTTTTAACCAAAGGGGCTGGCAGGGTATCAGAACCACAAGAGACTTCAAAAAGTAATTGCCACTCCACCCCGCTCCCCACCCCACATCTGAACCTCTATGGTTCGGACTCTAGAAAAGACATGTAATGAATTGGTTTAAAGGCAAGCTCACAGACTGGTTGCTTTTCAGTAAAACCTGAGCTGACATGTTTTCCTTTGGCCAGTGCAGCATGTATATGTTTTCACAACTACATTTGCTTTCTTCTAGGTCAGGCCGAAAGCTCCAATTTATTACAATCTTTTAATTCCCTAATATTTTGCAACCAGGAAGGGCATAGTTCTACACTGACTATCTAGATCCTGGGGTATGATGAAAAATAGACCCCCTGATCTAAAGCAAAGAGACACAGACAGCCACCTTAGCATAAGCTAGTTCAGGAACCGGAGATTACCAGTGCAGCAGATTTCACGGAAAACAAGCTGGCATGTTGCACTGGAGTGTGCAGCAGATATGAGCATCGGTTCTGATGCTCACTGGACATGATGAATATGGTGAAAAAGAGACCAGTTGCTGGCAGTCTCCTCATCTGTCCTCAACAAATACCCAGCGTGAGCACGGATTCTGCCCTCAGAGCTCCGAATACCGATCAGGGGCACACAGTGTTCCTCCATTGCATTAGTGAGATGTATCTTTGGAGCAATTTAATTTGGAAATGTCTAATGACCCACCGTTATCCAGCCGCTCCCATATTTGGAAGCTGAGTGCAGAAAGGACTTACTGGTGGCGATCCATCTGCCTCTGACGGTCACGGCAAATGGGATCTGCAGGGGTCACGTCTGGGCACAGAGCCGTTAGCTGTTTTCTGTAATGATTAGAGGATGAAGCTAGATGTTCAAAGAGCTGACTGCTGTAGGACAGATACACTTCTTAGGGGAAAAACTTGTTAATTCTGCTTCTAAACTAGGAACAGAAGCCACAGGAAGGAGGGAAAGAGCCATGGGTGCATTAATGAGCAGCTCGTTAGCTTCATGCTGTAGCTCCAGAGGCAATTAAATAGTTTGGGTACCATTTCTGGCCAGGAGTGGCAGTTCTACAGAGAGAAAAGGAGATTACAACAATCACATCCAAGTTCATCTGGTGACTGTGGCTGTCTTCTATCTTTGTGAACCTCAATGAGAGAGTTGTGTCTTGCCCACAGTGGGGCAGAATCACAGAGGAACCTGTGAATAAAGCAAGAGAAGTCTTTGGCTGCCTGCAAATCGGTAGCTGTATTAATGTCTATTTACCTCAGGCAGGCTGCTCCTGTCCACAGTTATCTCTAGAGAGAAATCCCGAAAGCTGGGGGTATCAGGCAATTTCCAAGTAGAATATATGCCCCTCTTCCATAGAATAAGTACATGGACAGACTTACCACCTTTGTCATGGCACAGGTCGGGGGGAAGTTAATGAGCAAAAGAGTAAACAATACTGAACCTACTTACAATCCATGGAACAGGCCATGGCCTGGGCAGCCAGATCTCCAAACAGCAAGATAAGGGAACATGTGCCACAAGGTAGCACATGCTGTCACCTAGGTGTCACCCACAGGGCATCTTAGGTCATAGAGCTCAGAGGCCTTAAGCTCCCAGAAAAGTCAGGTAAAGCACCCAAGGAAAGAT